TGGGACCCTCTCTTGCAGTTCCCTTAATTCAAGCAGAAATGTGCTTAATCTGAGCTGGAAACCAAGACTCCTCTCTCAGCCCTTAGTCACCTGGTACTATGGCCTCGACTCCCTCTCTTCCGGCTTCTCTCTGCTGACGCCTCCTTACCCTCCCACTGATCGTACTGGATGGGACCTAAACAATCCCTTTCCGGCTGAATGTCCCCCCCCCTTCCCTCTCTCACTGTGGAGAAGAAACTCATAGTCCCCTTGTCCCTGCAAACCCCGGGAGCCCAGTCTAATCTTCACAAAGTAATTATTTAGGCCTTCTCTCTTCCTCAAGATTTCTGAGCCTGGCTCAGTCTACATTCCAAGGTTCGCTTTGTTTTCTGAGCTGAAAACCAGGGACCAGTCTTCTGTGGCTCCTAATGTCGGGACAGACTTTTTTAAATGGACACCTCAGAGACCACCCACTTCCAACACCGAGGGTTGGTTCCTCTCTTGCCAGCCGACATCCTACCTGCCCCCAGAAGGAGGGCAGTGAGGGAGCAGAGCAAGGTGACAGATCTCTCCAGAAAAACAAACAACTAATCTTGTCTCCGAACTCCTCCCCAAAGCTTCTCTTGCTGCTTTCTATATCTTTGATCTAGTGGCATTTTCTAAACTTTTAGGGATTTCTATTAACTATAAATTTTGCATTTGACGGCGATGGAGGGCTTTGTCCTTTTGTCACTGCAATCTGTTACTTACTCTGTTGGAGCTTCAGCTGAAACGAAGCACAGGAAGAGCCTTGTCCTGACAACCAGGGGAGTTATGCTGGGCCCGGGTGTGACTCGGAACTAGGGAAAAAGTATCTGAAAAAACAATGAAACAATAAAAAAATATTTTAGTTGTCCTAACATAAACATATTTTATCTTTGAGTTTATAAAACCAGGCTTCTTTAAAATTTTATTTATTTATTTATTTATTTATTTATTTATTTATTTATTTATTTATTTATTTATAGAGAGAGGGGAAGTGGGGGAGGTAGAGAGGGAGAGAAACACTGACTGGTTGTGTCTCATATGCACCCCAATCAGGACTGAACCCACAACCCAGACATGTGCCCTGATCGGGAATCAAAGCAGTGACCTTTTGCTTTGCTGGGGATGCCCAGCTCACTGAGCCACACTGATCTCGGCTCCTCCCTTCTTCCTTTATAGCTGTAGTCGGATTGTACAAATGCATTTGCAATCTGTTATTTCTTTAAATTTATTCCTCACCAGTATTTTGTTCATCATACTTGGAATTTTAATGTGCATATATTATTCTGAATATTGATGTCCGTCCCTGCAGCAGAGCCTTGGTGAAAGCCTGTTCTGTGGCCTATACGGGTTTAGGTGCTGGGTTCATATGAGTTAAAAGAACTGGGCAAACACTTCGTTTAGGGGAGCGCAAACTATCACGCAGAGCAGGATGAAAGTAGGTTTATAGTTGTTTGTATGGAAAATAATACAGTAATTAATAAACAATACAAAACGAACTCTGTGTTTTGCATACTCACCCTACCTTAGTGCCATACTGTGTCTGCCACAGAGAGTCTCCCAAAGAGGTGGGAGAAGAGAACAAGACACGTCTGTGTTTTTCAGAGGAAATCAGGAAGGAGAAACAAGAGAACACTGATGTGGGTGGGAGCTTGCTCATCGCGTGAGTGGGAGAAGAATAAACCCCCCCAGCTACCCCATCCCCACCCAACTCAGTGGATAGAACAGCTTCAGCCAAACCACAGGGTTTATTTTGGTCTTGTAAAGGTGTGAATGTTTTCTTTTTTCCAAATTGTTATTGAATTATTCTAAAATTACTCCGTAAATTGTCCTTTCTCCACAAGTATAGAGTTATATACTGAAAAGCTAGCTTTATCATCTAATGTTTGCTGGGTTGTTTGGTCTTCAGGCAGTCAGTGTCCCCTTGCAATTCCAAAGATTTATCACCTTCGGGAGGGTCAGGACCACACTTCTTCAATTATTATTGCTTTCTAATTGTTCTAAATACCTAAGAAGCTAATTTACTCTTACAGCTTCTTTGAAAGCAATTCTCTCCCAAAGTGTTCTAATTCTAACATCTTCTTCAAGGAACCAATTCTCTCTTGATATTTTAAAATGTCAGAAATTTTTCTTATATTTAAAATACTTTTAGAAAAAAACTGCTTCAAATTTTTAGCTGAATTAATCATTAGTTTCATTACATTCTGCCTTTGTCTTTAGGTAAAAATCTCCCACAAAAGATGGAAGCTAAATCCTACAGATTGTTTGAAAATGTTTTGTTCTTATTGCTGGTGTTTTGTTTCTTCACGCAAGCCTAAATTAAATGCATGTACTTTGATAATCTCCTAAATAATTTCAAAATATCTGTTTCTTTAATAGCATGGGGTTTAGTCTGAGCCTTCCAGACTGTGTAATTTTATCTATTGAGCAAAATCACTGGATTACTCTACTTTACATAACGGAGACATTCTTATAAGCATTGGAAGACAGGCCCCTCATTTTATTCTCAGTGTTAGGTTTATGTAAATTTAGTTTCCCTTATTTCTTTCTTTTCTTGATCCTAAAGGTCATAAGAAAATAAACACAAAAATAACACATAGTAGAGAACCCACTCGGAACCAAAGTTCAGGTTCAAAGGACCTGATTGACCCATGGGATGCAAGTCATTGACTTGAATGAGGACTCTAGGCAAACTGGGTAGTGGTGAGTGTAACCCAGGGATGGATGGCCCAGGTAGCCTGGAGCCTTTCCTAGAAAGTGGATGGTAGACAGGATAACAGTTTCAACAACTGTGTAACATATGGGCCCAAGCAATACTGCTACAATGACAGAATGGCTTTGGAACTTCAACCTGGCTGCTCTGCAGTGATTCTAGAAATTATAGCCATAGTACAGACAAAAGCATTCCTGTGAGGCTTACACACAGCATTATCTTTAAGTGACCTTGGGCACATCTGATGTGGATGTGGAGCAATGGAAAAAAGAACATGACATATGCCACGTGGTGGCAGAGAGCATCCCCAAAACTCAGTGAGACCAACAGGTACTCCCTAGTTTAACTGGATGATGCCCAAAGGGTGTTCAGTGTCCTGGGAATCCTTGTAAGTTAACATTCAGGATAAAGGAGCTGTGAAAGCTCCTATCCAAGCTACTGTGGAAGAAGGTAGACATGTTTATACGCAGAGGCTGATGGGATCTGACAGAAGATGAGTTCCGTGGAAACACTACGCAAAAAACTCACCATCTACAAATGTCAGCTGGACTCCACTGGACGCTCTTCTCAAGCGCTGCGCTTCTAAAAGACTCTGGAATTTTCCTAACACCAAGACAAACAAAAAAATCAACCCTGAGCACCTGGCAGCACCACCCAGTAGGAAACTCTTGGATTTAGAGTCAGAAGCATTATTTCTGATACAAGTCCTTTCACTAATTTGAGACAAACATCTTCCCTCTCTGACCTCATATTCTTTTTTCTTTGGCAAAATAAAAGGAGATATAAAATATGCCACAAAATTTTGAAAATTATACGTCAGTCTCATGTATAACCATGAATGGGAAAATCTTCAGTGAGACACTCCCGAATGGAACCTTGCAGCATATTGAAGATAATGCAACCGGGCCGTGGAGGGTGCTAGGGTCTGAATGTTTGTGTTCCCCCATATTCACGTGTTGAAGTCTTCACCCCCAAAGATGATGGTTTAGCGAGGTGGAACCTCTGGGAAGTGCTTTGGTCACGAGGGGGGAGCTTTCACATCTGGACTTAGTGTCTTCATAGGAGACTCCACAGACCAACATAGCTCCTTCCATTGTGCAAGGGCACAGGGAGGAGGCACCATCTATGAACAGGAAACGAGGCCCTTGCTAGACATCTAATCTGCCAGAACCTGGATCTTGAGCTTCCCAGCCTCCAGAAGAGTGGAAATAAATTTCTGTTGTTTATATGCTACCCAGTCTCTGGTATTTTGTTATAGCAACCTCAACAGACTAACACAGAGGGTCTTTAAACATGGAAGAAAGGCCCTGGCTGGGGCGGCTCAGTGGACTGAATATCATGCCAGCCTGAGAACCAAAGCGTTGCTGGTTTGATTCCCAATCAGGACACATGGCTGGCATGGTCCCCAGTAGAGGGCGCACAAGAGGCAACCACACATTTATGTTTCCTTCTCCCCTTCCCCTCTCCTTAAAAATAAATAAATAAAATCTTTAAAAAAATGGGAGAAAGGTTCAAGGGTAGAAATTCTGTTAATATAATTCATCCATATATAATTAAATAGAGAAAACTCCAGGATCATCTCTATAAATTTCAAATTATATTTGACACTATTCAATATCCATTCTGATTAACAAAAACAAACAAAAAAAAACAGTCTAGTTCTCCTTACCTGGATAAAAGCTAGCAACCAACACAAATACCAATGAAGGACCTGAGGCATCTTTATTACAGACAGGACCAAGACAAGGGTACCCACTGAGGTAGCGAGTCTGCAAAGGTACCGCCCACTGGCCATGCCTCCCAGTATTCTCAGTCTTGTGCCATCACTCCCACACTGAGTCCGACCAGCCTGTGACTTGCCTGGCAAATAGCACACAGCAGAAGTGATGTGGAGCCGGTAAGAGAGCTAAAAGACCTAACAGCACACACTTTTGTGTGCTTGGACGCCGCCACCAGGACAGATATCCAACTGCCCTTCCAGAGACCACCCTTCATGCCAGCAGGAGAGGACCTGGAGGTGAGATGCCACATGGAGAGACAAACGTGGAACGGCACCAGGCCGTGAGCAAAGAAGCTAAAACACCAGGAAAAACCCACCATTGTGGAATTTACCTTTCTGTTTCTGCACTGGGGGCTAATCAGCCACAGTGATTAAATCTTCACGATGCTGGTACAAGACTGGATATAAAAATAAGTGAAATGTAACAGGGAACCCAGACACACACACACACAGGTATCTCAGGGAATCTAAACAGTTACATGCATATATATGTAAATGTATGCATACCTCTGCAAATAGCAGTCAAGTTGGTGCAGAAAACTCATGCCTACAATACATCTTGTTACTTGGACAACTGGCATTCAGAAGGACAAAATGGAAAAGAAAACATAGTTGATTTTTGTCCTTCATAAATAAAAATGACTTCCAGATAGATAAAAGATTTAAATGTTAAAAAATGGAACTTTGAAAATACTCGAGAAAAACATAGCCAGATTTTTAATACTCTGGGATAGGACAGCTATCATGAGCAAGTAATAAAGCTCAGAAACCCACCGGAAATGATACAATGAAATATACAATTGGCTAAATAAAAATAAAAATAAAAATGAAAACTTTGGAATGGTAAAATTATACTATAAACAAAATTAAATGACAAAGTATGGAAAATATTTTCAACCCAATTGACAAATAGATGGAAAATATCTTTATGATAAATATAGGTGGATAATACTTTTACTTTATATCATTCTCATAAGTCATTACAAAAATGAATTGTACCCCATAAAAATAAAAAAAGGTTTCCAATAAGTATTTCACAGGAGAAGAAAAATACTTAGTAAAATCATTACTAACTAAAAACAAATAATAAGATTTTACTTATTTGTGCCAATGTTAGCAGACAGACAGCTTAAAGAATGAGAGCATTTGCTTAGGAGATGGTCACTTTTTCATTGTATCTCAAGTTCAAGATCTCTTTCTTTAAAATATTTTTTATTGAAGAATAACGGTGAAAAGTATTCAACCTAAATGTAACTTTTGGTAAAATATCATGAAATAAACATCTGTATAATCGGCATCAGGTCAAGACTAAAACCATTCCCGCATCTCAAAAGCCCACTTCACAGGCCCCCAAATAACTCCACTTTCCCTCATATCCCCAGGTTACTCGTATTCTGATTTCTAATACTCTAGGTTAGTTTTACCCATCTGTGAACTTTATGTAAGTAGAATCATTGTCCATGTCTGCCTTGTTTGCTCAATATTATGTTTGTCAAATTTATTCTTGGTATTATATGTAGTGAAAATTTTAATATGTTACATGTTGAATAAAATGTCATGGCATGAATAGACACAATTTGCCAATCTACTCTTGACATTCAGAGTGTTTCTAGTTTGGGACCATTGTGAATGATGATCTGTGGACATTCTTGTACGTGTCTTTTTGCATCTATGTTCAAACATTTCTGTCCAGTTTATACCTAATATTGTAAGCTTACTCACTGGGGATGTATATATTCAACTTTAATAGATAATACTGTAGTGTTTTTCAAAGTTTACCAATTTACCTTTGTACCAGCAATGTATAATGGGTTTAAGTTGCTCCAAATCCTTGTCCACACTTGATAATGTCAGTCTTTCTAACTTTAGCCATTCTAGTGTGTATGTAGCTTTAATTTTCATTTTCCTGATGACTATTAAAGTATGTCCTCTTTTCATATGTTTATTAACCATTTGAATAACTTTAATTCACATATGGGCAAGCACCTATAGTTCTAGTACCTTTGTCTGTGTTTTTCTTATTGAGTTATAGGAATTTTTTATTCATTGTCTTAAAGGTGTTACAAATATCTTCTTCCATTCAGTGGTTTCTTTTCTATTCTTTTTGTCTCATAAAAAATGTCTTTAATTTCAATATAATACAAATTATCCATTTTTTTATGCCCCATGCTTTTGGTGTCCTGTTTAAGAACTCTTTTCCTGCCCAAGGTGATGAAGGAAGTCTTCTCTACAACCTTCACAATTGAGTTGACCTCCCAGTGGCAATTTACCACACATGGCCATTTAAAGTTAAATTAACTGAAATCAGCACGAAGAGTTTAATTCCTTGTTCATACAAGCCATGTTTTAAAGGGCTCAATGGCCACAGAGAGAGAACATTTGCATTACAGAAGAAAGTTCTATTGGTCAAATATATTCTAGAAGGTCATTTTGCCTTCTGTGGCTCTAGAATAGTGTTGCTTTCTTTTGTTTTGTTTTGTTTTATTATTTTTTGGTGTGTGTGGTACTAAAATATTATTATTAAGATGAGATGATAATTAAGTATAACATTTTAGACAAAGGCAAAAATAACAATAATAAATTTAACAATCTCTACTTTAAAAATCTCCATTTTACCTCATTATTAGATGAATTAAAGTTAAAAGCTGCAACACGGAGCACTCATGAGAGAAACAGGGACACTGAGATTTAAACCCATCTGCACGTGGACAGAAGATGAGCTACTGTGACACTTCCCGACACAAGTAACTGCAATCGGAATGTGAGGAGCAAGGCTGTGGGAGGAAATGTAAAAAAATGTTAGTTTTCTCATCTTAGCAGGAATGCAATCATTTTTTTAAAATAAATACAAGTCAAAAAATTTGGTTTTATGATCTCTTGGCACCTCCTAAAATTATGGATTCCCTGAGCCGTAGGAGGGATGATTTGGGAAATAGTTCTGTTGTGAAGAAACATGGACGGAAATGTTTATTTATTGTTTCCATTTGGTTCATTTCCTCTTCTTTCAAATTCAGGTAAAATTAAATTTAATAGCCAAGTAATTCAGGATGACCTCTGTAAATAAATGACAACGGGCCTGGTTTTCCCAGCTTTGACCCCCCCCCCATTCCTATTTACCTTCCTTGCCCTCCCCTGAACCTTGACAAACCAAAAAGCTCGAATAAACAGCTTCTGGAAGAACTGTTCTGACAGTTGCTCATATGTGAATGTATCAAAAATCCTGAGAGCCCTGGCTGGCGTAGCTCAGTGGATTGAGCGTGGGCTGTGAATCAAAGGGTTGCTGGCCAGGTCCCCAGTGGGGGCCATGTGAGAGGCAACCACACATTGATGTTTCTCTTTCTCCCTCCCTTCCCCTCTCTAAAAATAAATAAATAAATATCTTTTAAAAATTATAATCCTGAGAAAGAAGCCTGAGAATCCAGAATATTCTCTACTCCTTGCAGCCACCAGTTTTGCAGCAGTTGGGAGAGTGGAAAAAAGACAAAAAAACAAAAAATGCCATGCAGGCCAGGTCACGATGACACAGTCCCCCCACCCCCACCCGTCCTGTAGAACTCTAATCCTGCTCTGATCTGGGGAAGGACCCAGTTTGCAGGTTCTCCCTGATGCGCATCAAGTGAGGAAGACCGAGTCCTTTGTTTTAACCACTTGAGCCATTTTTCCCCTTAATATCTCATTTTTTAAAAAATGTCTCCATTTGCATATCTGCAAAGAGAAAGAGAGGTGACTACTGAAAGGTTTTCCAAGTAGTTCAAGTTTGGGCGTGATTGGTATTTTTTACATTTTAAAATTCGTTATAATAATCCTAAGTGATTAAAAGTTAGCATTATTTAAGAATTAAGAGAGGACTTCCACCAAGATGGAGGCATAGGTGGATGTACCGTGCCTTCTCACACAACCAAGTTTAGAGACAACTAAATATTAGCAACAGAAAACACAGCCAGAACACGGAAAATTGAACTTTTCGGAAGTCCGTTAACAACAAATTCTGCAGCCTGACCGGTAAGGGGCGAGACCAGCGGCTGGTGAAGCGGGGTTGCACAGGAAAACTCCGTCAGACAGACTCAGGCGCGCAGAATCCAGGCGCAGGGTTGGACCTAGTGAACGACCGAGCCAGCGACCAGGCGAGCAGCTGTGGGGGAGACAGCGGGGGAGCGGGGCTGCGTGTTGACTGTGGTCGCGCATTTGTGCGAGGGTGGACAGGCGAGGGAGTGGGCGGTTGGACCAGGACCGGTGGGTCCCCGCAGCAAGCGGCAGTGGAGGGCGCCGCCATTTCCCTGCTCTGACCCCACCTCCACATACAGCGTCATAACCCAGCGACTCTGAGTGGCCCGGCCCAGGTGAACTACCTAAGGCGCTGCTCCTCACCCAGCTGTGAGAAACAGCAGAGGGGGTCGCCATTTCCCCCGCTCTGACCACGCCCCCACATTCAGCGTCATAACCCAGCGACCTGGGAGTCCAAGGCGCTGCTTCTCACACTTAAAGGGCCAGAACAGACCAAAAATGGCACAAGAAGATTCTCAAAGTCCCTGAGCCCATAGACCTAAGCGATGAAGAAATAGCAAAACTCTCAGAAGCACAGTTTAAAACACTGGTGATCAGGATCCTCACAGAACTGGTTGATTATAGCCACAAATTAGCACAAACATATGAAGGCGAATTTGAATGACAGATTGCACAGGAAACCAATAGCGATGAAAAGGAAACTGGGACTCAGATCAATGGAGTGGACCAGAAGAAAGCAAATAATGGCCAAACAAAAAGAGTCAAGAAGCAAGAATTCAAATAAATGAGGAGAGTCTTAGGAACCTCCAGGACATCTTTAAACGCTCCAACATCCGAATTATAGGGGTACCAGAAGGGGGAAAGGCACAGTCACCAGTGGAAAACTTATTTGAACAAATAATAAAGGAGAATTTCCCCAATCTGGCAAAGGAAATAGACTTCCAGGAAATCCAGGAAGCTCAGAGAGTACCAAAGAAGTTGGACCCAAGAAGGAACACATCAAGGCACATCATCATTATATTAGCCAAAATTAAAATGAAGGAGAGAATCCTAGAAGCAGCAAGAGCTAAGGGGACAGCCACCTACAAAGGAGTCCCCATCAGACTGTCAGCAGATTTCTCAAAAGAGACCTTACAGGCAAGAAGGGGCTGGAAAGAGGTATTCCAAGTCATGAAATCCAAAGACCTACAACCAAGATTGCTCTATCCAGCAAAACTTTCATTTAGAATGGAAGGACAGATAAGGTGCTTCTCAGATAAGATCAAATTCAAGGAGTTCATCATCACCAAGCCCTTATTATATGAAATGTTAAAGGGACTTATCTAAGAAAAAGAAGTTAAAGAAACATGAACAGTGAAAGGACAACAAACTCACAGTTATTAACAACCACACCTAAAACGAAAGCAAACTAAAAGGACAGCTAGATCAGGAGTGGAAACATAGAAATGAAGATCTCAAGGAGGGTTAGCAACAGGGGAGTGGGAGGAGGAGAAGAGGGGAGAAGGTACAGAAAATAAGTAGCATAGACAGTAGATAGAAAATAGATGGGGGGCAAGAATAGCATGGGAAATATAGAATCTAAAGGACTTGAGACACATGGTCATAAACTAAAGGGGGGGGTAATGGTGGGGATGGGGGGTAGGGTGGAGGGGAATGAAGGGGGAATAGAACAACTGTAACAGCATAATCAATAAAAAAATTTAAAAAAAAAGAATTAAGAGATTTACATCTATATGCTCTGATTCTGCACAAAACCCATAGTATAGTGTTAAGTACGAATCTATATGTAATAATTTTCACAGCAATCTGTAGCCCGTTATTCTGTTTTAAGAAAACGCCACCAAAGCCACACTGTGTGCATCACCCGAATTGCACATGTATGTGACACGTCTGAACACAGGCAGGTCAGACGCTGACTAACAGCAAAGTGGGAGGTCTAAGTGGTCACGAAAAGCAAATAATAAAAGTTGCTGTGACAGCATCCTGTGTGCGGGTTAATCATTTAGGTACCTATGTTGACAAGAAATAAAGCAGAAATGTTTTTTGATGGAAAAATCCCAAAATGCAGCAGTTTTATGCTCTAATTCGAAATGTTTGAGTCTGCATGGCGACTGTACACACAGCTCCCCGACCGCCCCCTCCCTCCCCACCCCCGTGCCTTGCCCAGGCCCACGGGAGCCACAGACTACATATAACAGAAAAACACTGTGCCTCTTCAGTTCTCCGAAAGTGGCCTAGAAGCAGGTACTGTCTTGCCCCCAGGACTCCTATGGAAGGGGCTGGGCCCAGATTTGCTCCGTAATGTTATTTGCTGTGAACCATAATCCTTGGACAGTGGCTAACCCCATGCCTTGGGGCATGAAGAATCGGCTTGTGAGTAGAACTTCTTGTTTATACAGAGTCCCCAGCTGCTGTCAGCAAACCCCTGGGTGTTGCTCACAGGGGCAGAAACCCTGACAACAGGTATGGTCTCCTGAAACACTAAAAGATCACTGTGATAACATACGCTTATGTTTGTTCACTGCGATGCCTATGGGAGACTTGGCTTCAGTGGGTGAGTTGTTTCTTTGAATCTTTATCTGTGTAGGCAGGACCACGTGCATGTGTGGAATGGTGGGCAAACAAACTCTTTCTGGGAGAAGAAAGGATCTGAGTGAAAATAGGAAGGACGGAGGGACTCGGTTACTCACAGGAGAACCAGGTGGAGAGAGGATGTCAGGAAGTGCACGATGACCTACACCAGCCAGAGCACCCACGGGCGAGGTGGCGTTCACAGATGAGAAACTCCCATCTCCTGCACTGCAAAACCTTGGATAAACCTTCTAACCATAATAAGATGAGAATAAAATATACCCACATTTCCAAAAATGCTAAAATGATGATGACTAATACATTTGAGAACAATAATGGGTTTTGCAATGTAGGCGAGGGTGTTTTAAAAAAAAAGGCACACTTTTCTTTTGCAGGGATTTTGTTTTGCTTGAAGGTCTGAGCTTGCAAAGTTGCATCAGCAAGCGAGACTGGGCTGTAAACAGAGGGCCCAGACGGCGCTCACCTGGGTTTGAGAGACCCTTCACATTAGGTCTCTTTCCAGGACCGAGAATCGGCTGTTTACTAGTCCAGAATCCACCGCCCTCACAGATCTGTGTTCGACGGCATTTTCTTTTGAGTCTGGAAAGACTCCTGTCACTCAGGATAGGTATCCTGCAGGTACAGAAAAAAGTAAAGAAATGAGTCAAAATCACAGCATCATGACTTTTGCATTAGGCTAAGCGAAAAGTATAAAAACAAGCCTTGAAGTCACCCTGATACAGCGTGAATGTCGTCTGTGTTCACTGTGACCGAATCCATTAAAAAGCTGACAAATGTGTCTTGATTTTATGGGAATGTTCTGGATTTGGTTAATTAGCTCTTAAATCAAGGTTTAAATATTTTAGCGAAGTCATTAAATGTGCAAATGTTTATGTGTCCGTGACGTTCGAAGGGTTAGAGGCATCCTATGGGGTCAATTTATAGAGTTTAATAAACTGAACGCTGGCGCAGCACAGTGGGAGGGCCCCTCGTGCCCCAGTTCGGCGTGTCTGTAAGACACACAGAGGGCAGGACAGCAGGCTCACAGGAGGGGGTCTCTTTGTGGCCAGGAGACAGTCTGTGCTGGATGATGGTGATGGCTACTCGGGTCTACACATGGGGTAAAATTTCACGATACGCCCCCAAAATAATGCGAGAAGAGAGCATGTGTAAACAGAAGAAATCCGTATAAGGTCTGCACCTACATGAATGGTATCTTATTGACATCCAAGTCCTGGTTGGGGCGTGCCCTGTGGTTACCTAAGATATTTTGATGGGAAGGGAATTCTGTACTCTTCTGGAAACTTGTGAGTCTTAAGCTATTTGAAAAAAAAATGTTATCCAGGAAATACACAGCTATCAGAGACTGCAGAAAAGAACAGGCATGCGCTGTCCTCACAGCATGGGCAGGAGGGATTGCCATGCAGCTGGGTCAGCTCCTCAGTGTCCTTCTGCCTCCTGTGGACACTGTCCATGCACTAAGGTGCTGGCAGACATGTGCAGTACATCTCGCTGAGTCTGCTAGGCCAGTTTATTTTTTTATTGCTATTCATACCCTCCTGGGATTTAATGCAACAGGAAATCGTTATAAGCATGAATGCAACAAAAACAATCATACACAGTGATTCTTCCCTCTGGAGGGTGCGTCCTTGAGAATTAATCTTCAGCCAGTGCACTAGCTCATTCTCCCCACGCAAAAGCTTTCTGGCTATTAAAGCTGCCAGTCTCCCATTTAAAACCGCCCAATTGTTACTCCTGGCATTTGAAAAGAAACAAATTTCCCGACAATGCCTCAAGGAACTATAAAATCTGCCTGTTGCTGACATTTCCAATCTCACCGTGCACGTTCTCCCTCTTCCTCGGAGCATTCAGCTGCACTGGCCCTTTGGCTGTTTCTGGCACACACCTGGCACAGTCCTGCTGGCAGGGCCTGTGTCTCCCTTGCCACATGGTCACCTTCTGCCTGAAAAGACCTCACTTGTCAACTCTATCTTGTCACTGTGCTTTAGTTTTCTTTATAGCACTTATTGCTAACTGAAGTCAATTTTTCTTTCCTTCCTTCCTCCCTTTCTCACTCCCTCCCTTCTTCTCCCCTCCCTCCCTCCTTCCTCCCTCCCTCCTCCCTGCCCTGCCCCTGTCTTAATCCACACAGCCTAACACATAATGGGTACTTGTCAATATTGTTTGAATGAATGAATGAGTGAATGAATGAATGCTCCTATTAATGGTGCTTATTCCAGGAAGTATGAGTAGGGGTGAGAGAGCTTACATTTTACTTTTACACATCAGGGCATTCCAATATGCTTATATCAAGCATAAGTTAATTCTGCCACTGAGTTTTAAAAAGCAAATGCCTACATATCCACATTGCCACTCAGAGGAAGTGATTTCAGAGGTCTTTTTTCAGCTCTAGGATTCTGTGATCCTAGATTTTTCAAATTATCCTCACAAGGTATAAGGAAGGGTGCCTGGCACAGCTGAGCTCCACATGGCCAGGAGTCAAGACGCGACCGATGGATTCACTGTTACATTATGAATTAACGTAAAAGCGTACAAGCCTGCACAGGTGCTTCTTAATGCACAGGTTAATACGTGTGCCTGCATCCTCACCCGCCATTCCTACTAAAAGTAGGTCAACAGCATCAATTCCCTCTGGACACCAGCCATGCTTGGGAGAAAACAGAGGTGATATACTTTTGGAGGCTGGCGGTGGGGGCTGAGGGAGTGTGAGACTGTTGTAGACGGGTTCCCCCTTCTCCAGCTGGCCTCCGCACGGGAGGGTGCCGAGCATGGGCTCCGAGATCTCAGCCCTCACTGACGATCTGACTCGGCTGCCTTGAGGAAGGCAGATGAACCCACACAGAGCCACGGTTACATTTTCCACGCGCCCTTCCTTTTTCCGTAACGTACCTAGGCACCCTGCAAAGACAGAGAACACACCCCAAGACAATATCAAAGCAGAAGTCAAAGGAAGGGCCAGAGGGGCACAAATATGAAATGGAGCCTGAAGTGAAGGTTCAGCACAACTGTGTCTTCCAGTGACCTGCACTCGTGCAAATGGGGCGCAGACCTGGGCTGCAACCTTCTCCAATCCGGCACTGACACCTTCGGTGATGTTTGCAACAGAAGTGCGATCCGATCAATCACTTCGTCGGGTCACAGCTATTCCCCGCACTGGAGCACAAAGGGAGTTCTGAAAGTTTCTGCAGAGGCTGTTATTCTTAATCTCTCCTTCTTGCAGTGCTGCTCAATATTATTTCTTGCAATGTAGGATGGTGGCAATACTCCAAGATGCAATTTGGTTAGAACAATCCCATGGCCCTGGGATTGGCAGCAGAGTGTGAAGTGGGGGAGGGGTGTGGCTTGTACGTGACACGTTCATATAAATACATGGGCCATTAAAATGATGGCATACGTTTTCTTTCTTCCGTTATCTCAGGATGGAGATTGACAGTTATACTGTATTGTTATTGGGTTTTTTTGGTACCAAATTAGAATCTGCCCTGAGGAAAGGGAGGCAGAGCTGCAGAGACAGAGTTAAAGGCCAGGACCAATCATTATTCCTGCTTCGTTGGTCAGGCATATTTTGGGCAGATGACTCAGCACAGTGTGAGAGAGATGGTGGGGCTAGACGTTATCTAAAGTTACATAAAATTTCCAGAGTGCCTGAAGCTGTCCTGGGTGGTTATTTAAGGCTTGGTGTAGGAGCAGGATGGGGAGAGGGCAGGGGGGGAGGGGCGCTACATTTATTGTGTGACCAGGACAATGTTGATCAGGCAAGCTTCTGTTCTCTCTGTGAAATGCCCTCTTTCTGGGGGTGGTGGCACCACGGCCTTAGGGAGAAGGTGCTCCACTTGGCCAGAACCCAGGGGTTCTCAGCTCTGAAATCTCTCCCAGAGGGTCCTGCCAGTCTAACCGTGCTTCCATTTCAGAGGGGTGGCTCGGGGTATTTGCTATGTGTGGGGGCAGAGCAGGGATGGGTGCGGAGGAGCACTGTCTGGTTGATACTTTCTGACTCCTCTGCACCGACTCGGCACATTCTACACAGTTAGTACGTATGCGGTTCCTGAGGAGGAGATGGCAGGAGATGAAACGTATTTTCTGTCTTCAGGAAGCTCACAATCTCATGGCAAAGACAGCCACGGCCAATGCTCAGAGTAGAATGTGCTCTGGAGCAGAATGTGCTCCAGAATGTGCTCCAGAACCAGCGTGGGTTCTGGAGCCTCAGAGGGAAGAGGGTGGGTTTTCGGGAAAGGCTCTGTGCCTCTCTTCCTCTGAGGGGTCTAGCGTTTAGCAGACACTCACTGTCGGGCAGGCATTCAGAATTTGCTTGGATCAACAAGAAAGAGTTACGTATGAAGAGGTGGAGATAGAAAAGGCATTTGAGGTGAGAAAGCTACAGGGAGGCACGGCAATGCATGCTGGGTAACAGAGCTGGGTGATTTGGGGTTAAGAATAACCCGGAACATTGTCAAAACCCAAAGGAATGTGTTAATTTTTACAGAAACACTGGCCTGTGTTTTAATAGTCTAAAAATGAGTGTTGGAACACAAATAAACCTTCAAGAAATAAAAGCAGACAAATGCTGTGAGAAGATCAAGTTCGGTCAATATAAGCAATATAAATATCAATATAACGTTGCAGCATGCTACAATATGCTATGTGATGAAATATAAAGCCAAGGTTTTCTAACGAAGTCTCTGCTACGATTACTAATTCTACCTTTTCCCTGCCACCCACCTTCATAGTCGAAGAAGGGTCTGTGGGTACAGTGTTACAGCATCAAGATTTTGGCACAATAACATGAGGTAGAATTAGAGGGGGCCAAGGGGGGCAGTGAGGCTCCTGGGGCCATGGACACAGGGGAGCCATTGCTACTCCAACAGCTGACCAGGCCCAGGGTTCAGTGGTTGTCAAAATGCAAGAAGAGCTGAGGCTGCAGGGGTGGAAAGACCATGTCAACAACAGGGGCGTAGCCTTCCGTGCAGGAACACGCCTGTCTCTGGTCCAGGGGGAAGCAGAGGGTTTAAACCACTCGGTCCCCAGTGCCCCCAGTTTCCTGCTGGTGTCTCCCCCTGTGCACATGTGCCCTAACCAGAACCCAGAGTGCGACGCGGTTCTCAGAGCTCAGCCTAAGAAAGATGGGCAAAGACTCCGGGGGAGACTGAAGCACCTCTTCTCACAGCCCCATGGGGAGAGTTCATTTTATTTACTCCATGACACCCTGATTTGCACGGCATCGTGGCGGGGAGGGGGCAGTTTAGGGACACCTCTGTAGAGCCTAAAGGAAAGCAGTGCCCTGCATTCCCATGGGCCCGGCTTTCCACACTAGAAGACTATCTGCAGCTCTAGCCAACTCATTCCCCGTCATCCCAGGCCCTCCTGCCCCACAGACAGTCAGAGCTGCCGTGGTTTCCTCAAGTGTTGGGGACCCTGGAGATACCATGTCATTAAATAGGTGGTGGAAATATGATGCCAGATATCTTGGAGGCTGCCCAAGACAGGCTCTTCTCTGTTAGGATGCTGCAAATCTGCTTGTCTTCATCCAAAACAGCACTCAGACATCAAAACCCCTAAATCCCATGTTAGCAGGTCACAAGGGAAGAGTTACCGATCTTTAATTATACAGCAGG